TCGACTTTCTTTTCCAAATTATCTTTTCTCTCTATTTTTTTTCTTTGTTTTTTTTTTTCGACCGGTTCGAACGGCGAACAAGAAGTAAATTTCGTCGAGAGAATTTTGACGACTCTTCGGAAGCTTGATTTTCTGCATCGATAACAACAGCTTACGACGTGATGTTTGTAAAATGGTTCCCGTCGAAAGGTAAGAGGTATAAGCTTGCGTTGCTTCGTCGTGTGAACAATAGAGGAAAAAAAAAATAAGCTATCCGAGCGTCACGTTGTGCCTCACACACACACACACACACGTATGCAAGAAGATACACTACTACGGATTCTCTACTGAGCCGATACAGTCGCGGTGATCTTTCTCGATAAGAGAGAATCAAGCTTCGAGAGGTAGGAGCAGTACGATCTCTCCGTATTTTTTTAATTTTTTCATCTTTTACGCGAGTCGACAGACGCTTATTTCTACGACGAACACCAAAGCTTTGAACACAATCGGGGCAATAGAGAGACAGAGTCGGACGACGATAAGGGAAACATGGTAGGGGTTGCGGCGACGGGTGGGGGGAGGGGGGGATGAGGGTCGTTTTGGTGCGTCCCAATGAGAAATGCCTCGTAATCACGTACAACTAACAAACGATCATACTCGCTCACACGCATACAAATATAACGCACGCAATGAAACACTTCTCGGCAAATCGCGTGCGGTTCAAAACAGAATGCTCCGATGAGGATCGATTACTACATCTTTGTTTCTTTCTTCCTCTCTTTTTCTCTTCTTTACCTCTCATCGTGTGCGCGTTTTAATCTTGTCCGCTTATTTCCTCTAGTCTCCTGAACATTTCTCCTCGCTAGTCTCATCTCGTTTCTCGCTTTCCCGTTCGTAAAGTCATCGACGAGCCCGACGACGACGACGACTTATCGTATTCACCCGCGATTATCATCCGCAATCCGGTTGCGGATGCGATTAAATATAATTAATACGTATACACAACAATACGTGCAGAAGAGCCCTTTCCTTATTAATAATATATTATCGATAGAGTAGTCCTTAACGTCCGTACAATAACCCCGTTAAATTATCCCGTTACACGATAAACGTAATTCGCCAGCTCGTTGATACGGTTAATATGAAATAATTTAAAGAGTTAGCGGGATATCGAACGTGTGTGTGTGTGTGTGTGTTTGTGTGTGTTTAATGTGTGCGCGCGCGCGACTGGTCTCTCTCTCTCTCTCTCTCTCATTCTTTCTCGTCGACGACTCTACGCATGAACTTTGAACACAGACTTTCGCGGCAAATATTACAAACTAGCATATAGTTTATTCTCTTGCGTTTAATCGGGCCACATCTCTAAGGAGGTGGACGTCTCTCCAGTTTATCGGTTATCGCGCAATTCACTACTCGATGTAATCATAGTCGATCAACGTGGGTGTTTTTTTCTTTCTTTCTTTCCTTTCCATTTCTTTTTTCCGAGTTTTGTGTACAGAGTCGTCGCTTGCTGCACGATGATATCTTCTCAAGAGTGCCGGCGAGAATTCGAACGCGTGATTTTATTTTTTTTTATTTTCTTTTTTTAATGTTTTCAAATGTATCGTGTGATTTGGTGTCCCGACGACCGTTTACGAGCTTTTACCGAAACCAGAATGTCCTAAGCGAGCTTCTTCTCTGTGTTATTGTTGGCCACGTAACCGTTATTGGTTCCGTTGCTGTAACAACTGTTGTATTCTTTATTGTAGATCGTCGCGTACGACGAGACACCGTTTTGTCGCGGCATCGAGTCTTCGAGGACCGGCATGCAGAGGCCGCCGTTCGAGCCGTTCTGCTGGCTGTGCTTCTTCATAGGTTTCCTCGTTTTTTCTACGTACTTCGCTTTGTAAAAGTCCGAAAAGAGACCTAAGAAAAGCACGCCGTGCAAACCGATCCAGATCATGAAGCCACGGGGGTAATTGCACTCTGTGAAGAGAAGCTGGAACTGGTGACTCATGATCAACACGAACTGCACCTGAAACGAGATTCCCGATTGTTGTCTTCAAATCACATTTCTATTTTTCTAACAACGATCGACGATTCGATGGAACTTACCATTTGCAAAGTAGTCAGGTACTTCTTCCACCAGATGTACTTCTGATATTCAGGGCCCATCGCAGCCACCATGTAGTAGAAGTACATTATTATGTGAACGAAAGTGTTCAAGAGGGCAAAGAAGGTGCTATGACCACCTGGCGCGAATTTCATGCCCATCCAGACCGAAAACGGCATTATACCATGATGGATCACGTGAAGCGTCGATACGTGTTGATTCTTCTTCCTCAGAATGAAAAATACCTGAAAAGATAGAACAGGGTTAATCGGAGATTCGTGGAACGATTTATTTATATTCGAAGAACCGAGTGCTTTTCTTGATCGCTAACTCTCCTAGTCGAGCTCGCCTAGGCTTGTATTACCGGTTTTCCGTACAAAATATCGAAGCTTGCGGTTAACCGTACGTAAGCCTTCGGTTAAACCTTCGCAACATCTAGACGAACACCGAGCGATCTCATCTCGGACGTTAATAGAGGCGAAAAGAAATAGGCTACTCAAGGGTAGCAGTATCCCTCGTGAAAGTCTCTAGAGATATAAAACCTTATCGCGTGCCTTGATTTTCGTATTACAACACGGTAACTTTTCCTAACACCGTCGGAGTAACTTTCCGAAAGATTCGATTAAAACTGAAATTTCCAGATAAACAATCGTTCGATATCTAAGCATCGATCTTTCCTCACACTTGACGGATCCAGTGAAAAGGGTCACGACCGTCGCGATTACCATTGCACGAACGTTCCCGTCCAATGAACAACTCTAATAGCAATGGCTGCCTCCGATACTCGCTGGTAGGATTCTCGAGTAGAGCCTAATGCAACGGTATACTCGTGCAACACACAAGCAACCGCACGTACAGCATTAATAGCAGTGCTGCATTAGGCAACCTTATACAGTCACGTGAGACAGGTAGACGTCTTAATCGAACAATTAAGGCTGTAACAAGAAGGAGGAGGAGGAGGAGGTGGTATATAGATGTAAAGGTGGAGAGAAACTTACGGTGTCGAAGAACTCGGTGAACTTGCTGATGTAGTACCACCAGCATGTGTTCGCCATTCGTAACGCCATAGGGCTGTTGGAGTAATCGACCGGCTGGCACCGGAAACTGTATCCTTTCGCCCAGCCACTCATCAAATACTGAAACAAGAAAACGACGGAAAAGTGAGGACAATAAAAGGGGTGCATTGAGCGGTAAGAGGAGGACAATCCAGCATAGGTATAGAGAGTGCGATCGCTCGCTTTTCACGGAGAAACTCTGTCCCACCCTTCCGCCTCTCTCCGCCCTCCTGGCCGCGCTTTGTTCGATCAAGAAGCCGGGACAGAGAAAGAGAGAGAGAGAGAGAGAGAGAGAGAGAGAGGGGAAACAAAAGAGCCTCGAACGTGGGCTAGGCTCTCTGTGTGTTTCCCTCGCAAGACGATTTCGCTACTCTGTATCTCGAATTCTAAAAGCCCGCGCGCTCCTTCGAGAATTACGAACAATGCGGCTTGTTTCGCCTTTCGACCGTGTTTTCACAATTTTTCCGAAAAATCAGGCCACAAGGAGAACCTCCCAGCCTGACCTTAACGGTTCGTATTGCTGCCCACCGCCAATGGCACTGATTCGTCGAGGTAAACCCGAATACCCACGGCCACCAGCATCGTTTCAAACGTCCTTCCTTATCGAAGTTTACTCTTTTCCGTCAATCGTTCCAGTTTTATCTTTCTTTCTTTTTCGTAACGACGTGTCTGAATAATCATCGTAAATGTCCGGAAACTACGTGCCCGAACGTGAAAACGAGATCGCGTGCGTTGAACGTGTTGCGGAAGCGAAACCTCGCGAGGTCGTCGCGGTGTCGCGATAATTGACTAAATGGCAACGATTGTATTCAAACCAGGCACGGATATAACGTTACAAGCATCCGCGAGGAACTTGTCCTCGTGCTCGAGAGACGTCCGGAGGTTCCCTAGAAAAAAGGTTAACCTTGCAATCATCGTCCTGATTCGATACTGCAATCAAAGCGCACAAATTCTCCGTTTTTTCTCTTTTACAAAAGTTGATGTCCTTCGCGTATTTCTTTATCTGCGTCACGAGTACGTCTGGATATTATAAATGATCGTTAATAGGATTCAACTTACGCGCGATAAAGGTAACAACACAACGACGTCCTGGAGAAGAGACACGGAACGTTTTGCTCTCTCTTATCCGGGGAAGGTGAACATCGAAGTAACCGGTTATTTCGCAGAGTTCGAGAGCCGAAACAAGCGGTTGCAACCGTTCAGGCGGCATGGTTTCAATAACTTACGAGTGCATAAGGCTGTTGCTAATATCTATTGAAAAATTCTATGCATCCGTGAGCGAGTCACGGTCGCGGTTATTGCCGTTATGGGAACACATCTCCGTCCCCACTCTGTCTTTACTCGATTCCAACTTTAAGCTAAAAGTCAGCGTTCATTTCACGCGAAATTTCTTCGTTAAGACTGCGATCAAACTGGATGCGCATTCTGACAAACTCGATACATCCAAACGATCGAACGTGTATACAGATTCTCACGATGTTTACTTTGTCGGAACGTCAATTCTTGTTCCACGTCTTCCAAGTAACAAATTGCGATGATTGCGCGAAAGGAAAAAAGAGTTAAAGGCATCGTAACCAGCGTATTGCGCATAAACGAAAGACACAACGGCCCGATGCAATTTGACCATTCGCGTTTGGAAAAGTGACTCACCGATGCGACTGACTAAACTCTCGAAAGGTACAATTCGAAGCGAGCCGTAAACTCGACGGAGTCTCGCGCCGAAGAAGACCTTTCTATACAAATTTTAGACAGATGCGTACGGCAAATCTCTTTATTAATAATTTCGTACAGAATGATAAACTTGGAAGCAACGTGAAATGCATAATGCAACGAGACGAGAGGTAGTTTGACCGCGTTTTTTCCCTCTTTCGCACACACTTTGCATCGTCTTCGAGGGTTTCCTTCTCAGCTTCGACGATCTCACTAACTTCACTGTCGCTCTCCATTTTGAAGTATTGAAAAATTTTGCAACAAACGCACGTATCTCTGTGCGAGGCTGTAACGTGTCGCTCGTTCGCTACACGGCGTACTGCTTTGAGACAACAAAATCAGTGGACGTGCCACGCACGTAATTCCAGCGCAAGTGGTTAATACGCTCGAAATTGGAGCTGAACAGGCACGCTACTTGAAACTTCTCGCAACCTTACGCTAATCTCTTCTCCTTCTGTTTTCTTGCAGCAAAAAAAATTGCCTCGGTACGTTGTAAAGATACACTTGATAGAATTTCAAGGGTTGAATCCTATTATAAACTCTCCGGAACAGGCAGGCAGGCAATGATCACGTTCTTTAGTTGTCAACCGAAGCTTTCTCGTTTCACGGAGGAAGCTCTCCGCGAAATTTCTCGGGTATCGCGTGACGCACACGACATCCGAATCACGCGATTCGATCGGTATGATCGACGCCAGGACACGGCATTCCATTAAACTTGACCGTGTTAAGCCCGAGCCAGAGTTAGAAAAGCTCCGGTGGTAGTTGCGTGGGTCGTATATAACGAGAACACTCGCCGTGTACGGCCGAGGGAGTTGTGTGTCAAGGCCACGCGAGCCACGGTGTGTGTGATCTGTTTCGCGAGCGTACGCACGCCACGGTCATTTTTTCAACGCGGTTTCATCGACGCCTGTCGTACCTGCGCCGATTAGAATTTCGCGAGCCGCCACACACTGCTCCACATTCCGCCTCGTTTCGTTCCTTTCTACGGGTTCTCTAACGGCTGAGAACGGGATAAATCGTGGTATATTTCTTCAAATCTATCGCGTTCATCGTTCCGTGCACGTCCCGCGTTAGCTGCGATCAGATTTTCGGAGCTTTTCGTTCTAGACTCTCTCTCTCTCTTTCTCTGTGTCTCCTCTTCTCCTCCTGCTCAGGAAAGTGTTTCACCGGCATTGCAGTAACTCAGAAGTCTAAAGGACACACCGACACACACAGACCGTGTGTCGTGATGTAATAGTACTGGTAGCGGGGTTTCCTTGTAACCCTAATTACGCCTAGTCTGCAATACCGAACGTCGGAATAGTTGTCCAGAAGAATACCGTTCGTACAGGAAGTCTTGGACAGTATCGAGTACTTATGAGCACGTCTAGAAGTGGGTCTTAAATAGCAATTACGAGTTTCTTGCTTCCTGTGTGTTTCGAAATGTACCACGTATGACTTTATCGAAGTCCACGTAGCAAATTTCACACCTGCTTCCGTAGGATATATGCATGTACGTGTGAAACTGGCGGAATCGTGTCATCGTGTCACGAAAATTACGTCCCTGCTCATTACGGTATCCCCTCCCCGTTCTGTCAATGGTAAAACCGAACGAACGGTCCACTTGGACATTCACGGCGTACTAATAGCTCCTCCCTGACGAGACGAGGAAAGTTCTTTCGATGTTCTCTCAGCGTTGCTAATACGCTCCCCGAATTGCTCGTTCGACTTTAGGGGGGAAAGCTGCTGCTCGCTCCCGCGTCGAATGGCTTTTGTGAAAATAAATCGATTCGTTTACGAGGTTCGATGGATAAGAAGAAGTTTCTTTATCGATTTAATTCCTCGTTCTCTACGTAACGATCTTGTTTACCGATCTACCGAGAAGTCTTACTCGCGCGCGTTCGTAATCAATTCGCAACGTAGACCATACAGAAACTACACGCATACGCGAACAATTGCATCGATAAATGAGAATGCGGTAACAGACCTCGCTCTTGTCTTCCAAGTAGAGTTCACCCGAGGCGATCCCTCGAATTATCTTCAATGCCACGCTATCAACGTGAAAAGCTAGCTGGACGTGTGCAACTGACGAAACGAAACAACGATTAACCGGCTACGAGCGATAACGTTATCGAGAGGCAGACGTCACTTGTGATTCACTTCGGCAGATGATTCGATCCACATTTCTTACATTCCGTACAGAATGATTACGGATACACCACGCAGTTTACGCGTGTGTTTGTAAACGGCGAAACCAGGAAACATTTTCGAAGGAGTAAAACGTTGATCTCGAAATAGGACAAATTGTGGTCGATATCGAACTGTTTCGTTGGAGAGATAGATAAGAATTGGGGCGACGTAGGTGTTTTTGTTAAGAATAGATCTTAAACTCTCGAGCTGATTTTCTGCTGCGAGAGTAATTTTTAGGGAAACAAGAGGTGATAACGGCATCGATCGTCAGTGACCAAGTTACCCCAAAAAAATGCGTTTGCAAATTTCATTTGAATTCTATTAGACTCGTTTACATGGTCGGGGGAAGAGAGAAAGAGAGAGAGAAGCGGAACGTAGGATACGTCGCCTCGTATACCGTCTGCCATCGTTCATGAATAAGTCCGTGGATTCATTATTGTAGGAACGAAACGACGGAGAACGATTTACGACTCCGCCGCATTTACCAGAAAGCGTATAAGAACGAGGGGAGTATTAAAATGTCAAATCATTTTTCGTACTAACCATCGCGCAGCACTTTGCGATTCTAATCGGCTAAGCTTTGTGCCCACGGTCGAACGAGTACGATTTATGCATACATTTTTGTCGAGTCACTATACGAACGATTGTAAATTAATTTGACTTGAAATCCATTCAAATTTACACACATAAAATTAGCTGCCCAATTATTATTCACTGTTAGTAGCTTCATAATCTTTCTCTACCTCTAACTTCGTTGTTTTTCTACTCCGTGCTAAAAATACGAGAGAGAGGCAGAGAGAAAAAGAAATAATTGCCGGAGATTCACCTCCGCCGAATTTTTCTACGTAGAAAATAAAATAAAATAATTCGAGGATGAATACTAATAAGTGCAGGAAATAGAAGCAAAAATTCCTCTCGAGTCGGTTTCTGACCTCTCTCTCTCTCGCGAATTTTCTAGAATAAAAATGGTACCGGTGTGTATTATATCGTCGGAATATTCGAGGATAAATTTACGTCTCTTCGATTGGTCCTCGAAATGGCCGATTTTCACGACTTCCACGTCCACGGGATACATTCTTCTCATCCACTCCGACGATTTACATCTGCGCCACTTGATCAAATCCGACGACCTCGATAGCCTCGATATTCGAAGATGACCCTCAACGTCACTTGATCGTCTTCGATCGGTTCTAATATCTCCTCGACGAGCGTGTCATCGAGCCTCTCTTCTGCTAATAGTTCGCGAGACCAGATTCAATATACGTATCAAAGAATCCCTAGATTTTGCAGAAAATTCACGTACTATTCCATGAACGAACGAAAGAAAGAAAGAAATGTTGAAAGCAAGCAAGAAAGAATTGTACGATATTTGTTGCTACTTTTCGCATCGATTCTGATTCGTCAGTCTCAGTCGTCGATTCTCTGATCATCAGAATGTTTCTCATATCGATAAAAGACGGGCGAATAATAATTGGATCGACGACGAAAAAAAAAAAAAAAAAACGCACAGAAAGTAAGGCTCGTGTGTGCCCATCTCTACGTGAGTACGATTCTCACGAGATAACTGTACCCGAGCGTGCATGCGACATACTAAGCACAAACCAAATACGATCGGTATTTGATTAAATACGCACGCGCATTCTTGACCCTCGTCAGAGCACCGGGAGCAATTGGAACGCGTCGTCGGGGACAAGCCTCTCTATTTTCACGAACCAGGAAATCGATCCTGATCGGACTCGAGGAACACCGCGTTCCGAGCACTTTCGATCGGTAACGCTCGATCAATCGGCGAACCACAGCGTTCAACGCTGTCGCTAGAATCGTGCAACAATTAATATCACGATCAATTTGTACGAATAGTCCCTTTCGACTCGCAATCAGAGAAGAAGATGGAAGAAACGTCGAAAGAAATTCAGTCGAAGGACAGATCGATTAGGCGCCACAGTGACCTAAATTAGGCACGCACGCGTGCACCACAAATTAGACCTAGGAATGCCTAGGATACTATCTCTCGAATCGTGCAACGTTAGTGTTCTTTCTAATTTATTATACGATACGTATTAGTGGCAAATTCGAAAGGTCGAGAAGAAGAGAAAGAGATTCGTAGATAGAGTCGGTGGGGGATAAAGGATTTCGTCGGACGGTTTTTGCGGATCGTTTGACGGTAGGTTGGCTCGCGAGAGAGCTTTTCATCGACGCGATGAATTCCAGTGAGACTGGCTGAAGGAACGGTCTTATGCAAGCTACGGAGCACCGCATCGTAGCCGGCAGGCAATAACTTTCACGAATAAGGGGCAGGCATATCGTTGCCGAGACTGCCGATTAACTATTCTAGACGGGATCGATGATACATCGGAATGGGATTATTTGAACGCGTTCGTCGACTGAGTCAACAGACAAGTCCGCGTCGGCTGCGTTTCTCTGCCTACATATGGGTATAATCGAAACGATGGAGGAGAACGCAAACTGTGTTCTCTAATATTATACAGGTAAATGCACATAGAGGGGGGGGGGGAGAGAAAAGGGTAGAAGACGAACCTCGTAGAAGATCCATGAGGAGAATAGTGTTTGTATCAAGTTGTACGCTATCAGGATTTCCCGGAGGTTGAAAGGCTTTTTATTTTCCATTATCCTCGGTCCCAAAACCTTGCTGAAATAAGCGTATGATAGGCATATCGCCATCGTCGGGAAAGGACTGCTCATCATTAGCCAATTGTTCACCCTGGGATCTGGAATCAGAAGAACCATTCCGTTAAAATGTGTCGCAATCGTCGAACCGATCGTTCGAAAAACTCTCTCTCGAAGAATTCTCTCGGGTAAAAAATCCGGCGTGATTAAGTCGGAAGCAGATCGTACTAATTAATATCGCGGTTCTGAATGGAGGGGACAGATCGTTAGCGGCGCGATTGCTAGGGAGCCTCGAAATTAAAGGACCAACGAACACACACGGCTCTATTTAGAAAGGCATATTAAAGCGTAGGCATTCGCGACGTGCTCGACTAGAAACGAACAGCTGAGCAAATGAAAGATTGTGCTGCGAGCAATCTCGTATCAACCGACGAGGATGAATCCTCCTCCTCGCAAACTTTGTCCGCGCGTCTAACGCGAAATCCCCGCGTCCACTTCGTTAGTGGTTACCGCTAATTAAACCTCCTGCCCGGTGCTATCTCTCCTTCGACATCCACGGTGATAACGTTAAATCCGTGTTTAACTATCGGTTCTTCGGCCGCGATTCTTAAACGACCGGTCGAACAGAAAGCAAACAATCGTTCTTTCTCCTTGCTCCTTTTTCCCCCTTTAACCCTTACCCTCACCTTTCTCTCCGTCTTTCTCTCCTCGCCCGGTGTTCTCCTTTTGTCTCTCCCAAAAAAACGCCCTTCTCCTCGCCAACTCGCCCTCTTCGTAACTTTATGCATCGTCATTTACGGTACAATAAAGCTCGTTATGACGATTTTCCTGTCATTAAGCGACAATAAAGTATATAGGCTTCCCGGTTCGTTAACCTCTTTACATCGCCGCGATTATTTTTAGAAGTGAAACAGAGTAATCCGGTACTTTACTTTAACGGCCGATCGAACGCTCTCGTGTACGTATCGAGAGAAAATTGAAACTGTTAGCACGTCGACGGCACGCTATTCAAACAGTAGCGCGAACCACGTTTACCGAGTGTCTGTGGCTTTTAGAAAAGGAAAAGTGAATCGAACAGTTTGGTACACGCACCGGCTAGAAATGTATGAAGAGAAGAAAAAAGAAGAGAGGAGAAATATTCCAATCGAGAGACTGTATATGTACTCGCGGCTTTTCATACGGAGAAATTAACCGGTAATTGCAAGGTTCCGCCGCCGTGTCCCGTTCTAGACGAGACGCAAAGAGAGTTACATATCTTTACGATTATACCCATTTTAATGTTTACCTTCTGTAACCCAGATTTCAGACGACAATGGCGTCATTAGGAACATTTGGCCCACGATAGAGAACAATGCCCAATGTCGCGGAGAAGGGTGAAATAACGAACGAGAAGGGAGAACGGGTTAATTATTTCCAATACACGGATAACTCTGAACTTTCCCGTTCTGCTATAAAAAGGAAAAAAAAAAGAAGAAATACCTCGAATATTCGAATGCGCATTAGAGAAATTAAACGGCTTACAGATCATCCTCCTTCCCCCTTTTTCTGGATTTTTCCTTTCCTGAGTGATTATAACTCGTCGTTTGCAACGTACGTGATTTAAGTTTCATCGTGGCGATGTTGTTTAATTTGAAGGCGACGTAAAAATATACGTTAGTTTATTATTCATACGAAACTCAAGAACGTGTAAGATTACGTAACAGTTGGGTAAGAACTAACGTAGATTTGGAAAGAACCTTCGAGTAATTAAGCGAAATAGCTGTTCGTTGTTCGAAGAGGACGCGTGGCAATTCGCCGAAATGCGACGCATTCGGATGAAAAGTATTCTAATTGGTCGGGAACGGAAGAGAAAGGTTAGATTGCTGCCGGTTTACCACAAGTGTGCCACGTATTTCTCTCTTTAATGCACGTTTTTTCGTGCGGAGCTGCTCACAAAAGAGGCACCGAGCTTCTTCCCTTCCGCGTCAGACAACATCTCGGATTTATTAACAACTGCTCCACGTGGACCAGAATTGACGAGCCATTGCTCGATCGGTACCGATCAGTTATTTCGAATCGATTCTCCCAATAATATCTTCAACTCGAGAAAACGATAAGTCTAAGAATTGGTCTTTAAAAGCTCTTCGAATCGTCGTAATTTCCAAAGGAAGCCATAAGCTAAGTTTCCAAATTCTCTAACAGACAGATCGAGATTTTTTCCTCCACGATCTCCGCCAGGACAGCCATTTTCACGGACAGCTGACCATCGACAACGTGTAATTTCTCAAGAACAACTGTCGCACACGGTTGTTACGTAACAATGGGAATAGAGAGCAACGGTGACATTCCCCGTTCGCAAAAGGCGAGTGTCGATGTGTCGCAACGGGGGGGTGTTATTATACGCGCGTTGAAAAGTGGAACAATCAGCGCGTGATTTAGAAGTTGGCCGCGGATTATGCAATTCCATGGTGGACGTGCTGGATGTGCATCGTGGCGCGCGGGCACGAGCGAGCACGAGGTGAACGCGCGCGCACACACCTGCTTCGACGTCGGAGTTTTGCCCTCTCGTTAGAATTTATTAACCGTATCGACGCACACTGCTTCATTTCGCTATACGATTTTGCAAAGCGCCATTGTTCGGCGTTATTGCTAAACGAATGTTAACGAATTCACTCGGATCAACTGTAACTGATTGTTGGCCCAACTTCCTCCGCATGCCTATTAACCTTTCGACATTTTTTTTTCTTTCATTTATACATTCAGTCATATTGTTCCTTTTCTTAACGATTGCGCGTATCGTAGCTTCCCCCCCACCTTACTTCGTTACCGACGCCGCAGCTTACGTTTCGAAAAAGTCTAGGAAAAATTGTACACGGCTGAAGTCTCGGATTATTTCCCCGCGAGCGCCTGCGACGACGCGCGAAATAGGGGTAGTAATTTAGAGGAAAACTCGTCGCTATTCTCTCGGCAAATAACCAGGAAGAAACGCGTTCATCCCTTCCAACCCGCGAAGTGGATTAGAAACACGCGGTACAAAAGGACCTTTGTTGCCAGCTGCTGCGGAAAATGTTGACCCCGATAAATAGAGCCAGATACGCTAGATCTTTTCATCCGAAATTACCGCTTTTCCCCGAACCGACGTGTCTTTCTTAAAAAAAAAAAAAAAAGAAGAAAAAATTTTTGAAAATTCCAACAGCGACGAATAAAATCGAACATTATTTTATCGTATATCACTCTCGTAAGAAATCGTGACTGAAATACATCCGAAGGAACCGTACATATACGGGTGCGTACTTATTTAAGAGTGTTGCTCGCGTTCCAACAATGACGCGTCGCGTACACGGTCGGCGAATCGCGACAATAACCCGCAAGTAACCATACGAAAGCATACGATGGCATACGAAGGTGTACGAAGAGCACGAGAGAAATATTCTCGGCCGTGGGAAATTCAGAGAAGCACCACCACGCTTCTGACGCTTCTCCTACTGTCCGTTAGCTTGGATAAATTTCTCTCGAGCAGCATTTTTTTTTTTATTCAACCCTACGCGGCAAGATGCGGCAGAGTTCGTTCAGGGAGGCGCTCGCCGGAACTTCCGCTGAATTACCCTTGCACTCACGTGACCCGAACCGACGACACACGAACGCGCACCCACTGGACGATCCCATATTTTCCACGGCTCTTTTGTGTCCTTTTCGTACACTTTCCAGTCGGCATATCGAACTTTCGGTATGAAAATTCAATCGTAACTCGTTATGGAAGTTGAACGAACGATCGTGGCGTTTCGTAGCTCTCGTTCTACGGTAACTTTCGCGCCGCTTGATCAAATTATCGAGAGACGAAATCCGCCCTGTGAACCACTGACCGAAGATTAGCGCCCAGATTATCTCGACGATTAGCAAGAAGTTGAAATTAGGCGTTGTCAGCGGGAACGATTCCACTCAGACAGTTTCAATCGCCACTTAACGCCTCATCGAAAGTTCTCCCTGATTTTTAGCCACCTACGAAATATGTGAATCAAGCCACTTCACCGGTCTCGATGAGATCTTTTTTTTTTTTCACCAACGTGACACAATCTCTCTCTCTCTCTCTCTCTCTCTCTCTCTCTCGTCTGATAACCGCAGGTACGAAACGTAAGATCTTTTTGCCTTCGGAAATACGTTACGCGACCGTTATCTGACTCTATTATCGAACCGATTATTCTGAATCCAGAAGAACACATTGAAATTCGATAGAAAGTGTTTACAATTGCCCCTTCCAATAACACAGGTGTCTATAAGTCAGGTTTTTCGATAGCTGGCTATCTCTCAGCCGTTTCGCATTGTCGAGCACACGTTAAATCCCCGGGACGTGATCTTATTATAAACGTTTAGCCGAATGAGCATCGGATGTAAATACAAGAAGAGATTGCAATGGCGCAGCAGCAGCAACCTCGGGTGTAATCAGGCAAGACCGCCTCTTGGTCTACACGGGATACGATTAGCGGAAAACACGGCCTGTTGGCTTGCCAGTATTAAATCGATAATCCACACACCGTGTAGCATGGGAACATGAAAAGAGGGCTGGTCAATTCGAGCCCCTTAACCGCTCGTAAGTCTTGCTACGGTTGCACACCAACCTCTCGTCGCGAATGAATCCACGAAGGCCGTGGAAACTGCAGCCTGTGGCGGCCGAGTAACGCAATCGTCCAAATGAACGTTCCAACCCCGGACCACTCACTTACCGCTATCATCGTCACCCTCCGGCTTCGCCACTCTCTGTCACTTCGTCAAGCTTTACGAGTGTTCTTAGGGTAGGTCCTTTCCTCTTCGAACAGGGCAATTTGTGACTCTTACGAAGAGAGATTTTTGTAGAGAAGAAGAGAAAGAGTAGAATGTTGTCCACGTTTTAGTCAGGCGAGAATTAACGAGTCGATTTCTGATTAATTTCAACCTTGATAAAAAAGGATTCGGTGGGAGGTTTCATTCATACTGACGCAATCGTACAAGTGATTGGAAAGTTATGGCCGACAAGGTACGTCACCGGTGAATCAGTTTTGGAAACGCTGGCGTGTAGATGGAAGACGGGTCCTTTTTCCTTCTTCTTTTTTCCCTTTTTTCTCTCGCCCCTGTTCGTTTGGCCAACAGCGGCGGCTCGAAAAATTCCGGAATGACGTTGACGTGAATGGAAGCGAAGAATTCGAAGCTGATCGAAGGGAAATTGGGAACAAGATGGAAGCGACGTTACGACACTTTATTGACACACGCGGCACAGGAGGGAACCGAGGGGTCATTTTGAAAATATGCACACGACAAATACGCCTGCTCTCTGGTCATCGACGAGCAGCCATCGTGCTCCTCCTCGAATCGCGCGTAGATTCGTCGTGTCCCCGTTCGAACGCGACGTTACGAAAGAAAACGATCCGTCGCATTTCTCCGCTTTCATCGGTTATCCAGCGTAATTTGCTTGAAAAAACCCACGGGTTTTTCGTATCGAATCGTTTTAATGATTTCTCTTCACTTCCAACTGATCTCACCTTACTATTAGATACATAATATTATACAGTTCTATAGATGTTTGAATTTGTCACTGACTCGGCTGGTTGCATCGAGTGAAATCGGTAAGTATGACTCGACACTTCGTGACGAGCGGAAAAAGAATTTCATTGGAGCGCGGGAAAATTCAGCTGGAATTTATTTTTAATCGCGACCTGTTAGGGAAACGTGTCCATTTCTTTCCCCTCTTCTTCCGCGAACACGCTTTTACTCGGTTTTCTTCGTTTACAATAATAAATGTACCTGGTCGATGCAACGAGATGGTAAAAGTTTCTTTTTGATTTTCAGTACAGTCACAACAGACTGGCCTATTTAAATGCCGTAGACCCGAGGGAACCGATCGAGAGTCGCTCTTATCCTTTACCACCGCTTTACCGTCTGCTTAATGTTCTAAAAGAAAAATCTACTTACCGGACTTGTTATCCATCAGGTCCCTGTACCCGTGCACCAGGTCCGCCACTATAGTTGTCATCTTGGCTCGAGTCTGAAAGCAGAACAAAGCACAACCTCTTTACTCAACCCCGATTAGAAATTCGTGAAAATGGAGCTTCGGAATATTTTACGGATCGATACGAGTGTTGCTGCTGGTTCATTTACAATTTCTTTAACGACTCTTCTCTCCTTTCTTTCTCTTTTTATAATACTACAAAGCAAGATCGCAACGTTAGAACAGTTGCGCGTTCTCAGCAACGAACGGAAATCGCATAGAACTGGGAATAATCGAGGTGACAAAGGGAATCGTTCTCTCGATCCATTCGCTTTACGCAGATTGCGTGCAAACTGGTTTTTCACGGGAACATAACGAAGGTGCATCGATCGTTTTGTCTCTTGAACGCGTCCGTAAGGTTTTTCCCACACGTTCGATCGTTACCTGTTACCTTTCTTTCCTTCTTTTCTGAAAAGTCACACCGATGAAACGCGAGGCAGTCATCGGAACGCCGGGAATTCTCGAATCTCCCGCAAACACTCTATCCTTTCCCCTTGAAAAAAAGAAAAGTAGGAAGAAAAAGGTCCTCTCGATCGTACATTCGTTACCGAAGAAATTCGTCGGTCAGAGAATTGAAACGTCGAATGCCGGCAGAAAAGGCGGGCGCAACGACCGTTTCTGTATTACTTAACTTCCTTTTGTAAGAAAGTTCTGGATCGGGTCCGGTGTGAAATGTGAGTTCGCAAGTTGAAAAAAGCGGGACGACGACGACCGAACGGACGTGCAAATCGATTAATTACGCAAGGCGAGAATTAAGTCGCGGAATTAAAGCCTCCCCACGGAATTAATGCACACTCGATTATCCGAGGGGGATATGCCCGGCGTGTGGAATCGGGTCACAGAGTTTTTCGCGCCATCGCTGTCTGCCGGATTGCCCACGCGAAATTGTCTCGCTTGCAAGTTTTTTCTCTTTTTTCCTTTCAACGCTGCCTGCCACCTCTCCGCCAGGTGGGACGATCCTAGTTCGCGTCGATAAGACGGCTTGATTAATTGAAAAGGAACGAAGCAGCAGGTAAATAATAGAACGTCACACCGGTGGCTATCGGTAAAATGTTTTAG